ATATTATTATATGTATTATATATAATAATATATAATAATAATATCTAATATATAATAATATATTATAAATATTATACATATATAATATATAGAAACTCTATATATCTTCATATATTATATTATTATATATATCGTCAATCCTACTTCGACCGGATCAAGTGTGCAGTATGTCATTGACTTTAAAATTAATAATAAATCTTTCCATAATTAATTTTAATTCAAATAATTTTTATCAAAATATACATCACAAACCGCACTGAGAGCGACGTGTTTAGCTGGGAAAGTGCAAGAAACTCGCACTTTCAATACATTCGAGCAGTGCCGCCTGAACTCAACGAGTTTTCAGTGCACACTCAATTCTACCCAGTGAAAAACGCTATAAGTATGGACTGCCAATGGCTAAGAGCTGCGGCACATAAAAAAACTTAAGCAGTAAGCGAATTAGTCAATCAGTCGAGAACGTAAGGCAGTAATATAAGCAGTAGCAAATCCATAACGTTGATTTTCTTATTGCTTAAGTTTTTTTATGTGCCACAGTCCTAACTTCACACTTGTTGTTAGAAACACATAATCAAAGACTGGCGAAAAAGCAACTTTTGATTGGTTCACCATCTTTTGGCTATTTCTACTTATTTTCAAATACATTAACTACATTAATCTTTTGCAATATTATAATTTAAAAATATAAGTGTTTTAAAAATAATAAAATGTGTATATTTATAAAACTTTACATAATTATATTACCAATTTATTAATATATATCCTTTAATTTTTATGATTTTTAATTAATTAATTTATTTTTTTTGCTATTTATCTTTTTCAACACAAGAACAAAAATTAATATAATACTATTATACTATTGTTACACTATAATATTTTTAACTTTTTGATACACGATTGTCAAAACAATCCGCTGTGAAATCAATACAATGACAGCTATTCACAAAGTTAGGGCAGCGAGAGAATCCATCGCGGAAAAGCATCAATAATAAACTTCGGGGTGTGCGTCACGGCGGGGCCCGACCACGAACCAATCGTGAAAACTCGTAATTATTTTGCGAAAATATACCACCTCAGCCAGGAATCGAACCTGGATCTCCTGCTTACCGGGCAGGTATCTTATCCTTTCGACTACCGAGGCATGTGATGATATTTATCGCAAATAACGTGTTTAGAATAACACGTCAACAATACAATGATACACATATATACGTATATTACAATATACATATAAACATGTATTCTTTCGAATCGCCACGACCGGTACTCCAGAGCGATGTTGGTCTCTCACTCGATGGATGCAGGTCGGACTGCAGCGGCGACACCCTCCAACGCCATTGGCAAATATACAAATAATCCTCCTGGAGCACGACAGGAGAGATTGCATCAAGCATGGCTCGAGCCCCCGAATAAGAAGGGAGGTGTGCGTCACGGCGGGGCCCGACCAAAAGGAAATTTCGAGAGATGCAAATATTGATGTCATGCCTTTTTTTAGAAAGGATTATTACACATATTTATTATTATTATAAACAAACTTTATTACAATATAAAATAAAATTTAAATAAAAAGATAAACCCACTCATTTTTTTATATTGGTTTATCACAATTAATTAATTTATGATTATATTTTGCAATTTTAGTATCTTTATTATTTAATAATATATTATCATGCTTTCCACGTGTTTAATACACATGTACAATATACTTAAATCAATACCATGCAAAGTAAAAAATATAGCTATTGGTTAGAGTGAGATGATGTATATTTCTTTCTTTCTCGTAGGATTTAACTAAAACATGGCGGATCAGAGTCTCTGATTGGCGGATCAGAGTTGTGACTTAGTCTTTGATTATAATG